TTGACCTAACAGAAATATAGGAAAACTGGATACTGGTGGAACAACAAAAGGATCCAGAAATATCAGAAATCTTAACTAAGTTGAAGAATGACGATTTACCATTGGCATTAGTTGCCACTTATGAAATTAGATCAAATGTTTTGTATAGAAAGATTCAGAGGAATTCAAGAACTCGTTGTTTACCGGTAGTTCCTCGTGCGTTCTATCATGCATCTAGGTTGGGAGAAAACGCTAGACAAGGTGTACGATCATTACTGGTTTTCTGGTATGACAAAATATGTTCGAAGATTTGTGGAGAACTGCATTACATGCAGAGTTTCTAAGGGTACGTCAGGAAAACCTCAAATTAAATTACACCCAATTCCAAAAATTAGCATTCCTTGGCATACCGTTCACATAGATATATTGGGAAAATTGAGCGGAAAAAGTGACCGTAAAGAATATATCATTGTACAAATCGACGCTTTTACTAAATACGTTTATCTGTTTCACACCTTCTCTTTGGATGCAAATACTTGTATAAACGCAATGAAATCTTCGATTGCCATTTTTGGCGTGCCAACACGTTTAATTGCCGATCAGGGGCGCAGCTTCACGGGCGCAAAGTTTGTGCAATTTTGTTCTAAGCAAAAGATACAATTACATCTAATTGGAACAGGTGCAAGTCGAGCCAACGGCCAAGTCGAAAGGGTTATGAGTACACTAAAGAATCTGTTGACGGCTGTTGAGACAAGTGCTAGATCGTGGCAAGATGCACTGGGGGATGTACAGTTAGCCCTTAACTGTACAGTTAATCGTAGCACTAAGTGTAGTCCTCTAGAACTTTTGACTGGTAAAGTTGCGCGTCCACTTGGGTTGATTCCTATTAGTGATACCGAAACTGAAATTGACAAGATTAAATTAAGGGAGTTGGCCGCTAAGAACTTGGAAGAGGTCGCTAGATATGAGAAGACAAAATTTGATAAGAATATGGCTAAGGTAATTAGGTTCTGTGTGGGTGACTATGTGTTGCTTAAAAACAGTGAGAGACAGCAAACGAAATTAGATCCAAAGTTCAGAGGCCCCTTTTTGGTGGTCGAGGTATTGGATGGAGACCGATATGTTTTAAAGTCTACACAGAACAATAGACGTTACAAGTATCCACACGAAAGTTTGCGGAAATTACCGGATGTGCAAATTCCAGAAGAGCTTGATGGAAATTATAAAGAACAAAGTCTGTTGGAAAAGTCTGTTGATACAGAAGAGTGTTCGTGAAGTCATGTGATTGACGATGGACGAGGGTTGCTTTAGAAATATGTTTGATGAATTCGTGAAGCCAAGTGTTGGGCGATGGACGAGCAATGTGGTTGATGAATTCGTGAAGCCAAGTGTTGGGCGATGGACGAGCAATGTGGTTGATGAATTCGTGAAGCCAAGTGTTGGGCGATGGACGAGCAATGTGGTTGATGTATGCGTGAAGTCAATGTGTTTGGCGATGGATTTAAAAGTTGGCTAATAAAAGCCTAGTTATGTATCTTGGATTACGAATTGGTGATTTGAACTGATTAATGTATAATTTGAAAATGTTTAAATGGTCTCTTGCTTGGAAGTGTAAATGAAGGAAGTGGTTTGTAAGAGAATATAACCTGGGATATGTTAAAATAACCTACGACATATTAAAAATGGAAGTAAAGTTATGTTATGGAATATTGTATGAATTTGAGATTATTTGGTTGTTTTTCCGAAGTATTCAATGAGGTTGTAAAGTTGGAGTGAAACTGAGATGTTTATGGTAGACACGAGGACGTGTATATGTCAGGATGGCCGTGTCGGAGAGGAAGTACTGTAGCATCTCGATAGGCATGAGACCTTAAGGTGTGACCATGGGTTGTGCTGGTAGATACTAGTTCTGGTAGAATGGGGACTCAGTTGGGCTGTGGCTGTGTGTGGCTTCGTATGCGTTGCTAGATCTGGTCTCTCTCTCTGTTCTGTGTTTCCGGCGTGGCGTGAGGTGGTCACGTGTTGGTATTTAAGAGACAATAATGAGCAACAAAGGCAACGAAGACTCGCTGCATCCGCCAGACCTGAGTACGGAACACCAGAATCCGAACGGTCAAGCTACCAACAATGACGACCTGCAGGGAGACGACTTCAATTCTCCGACATATACATATAATTTGGTTGTGAAATGAGTAACCCAACGAAGGCCACATCTCTATTCTAGATCAGCATCAACAGGCGAGTTGATATAGCCATATCTGTATGTCTGATTCTATGCAAGATAGTCTCTCAGTTTCAAAGCTATCGTCTAAAAACTTTTTATAGATCTCTTTCTATATTAATATTGTATATTTTAACACTGGCCAAATTGGACCACTATATCATATAGCTGCCATAGGAAGAATCGATTGACAATAAACTTCTTGTATGATACAATATTTTGTTTATCAGGATACCCTACCAAACTCGGCATTTAATAGTTTCACTATGCAGAGACAAATCCTCCCACTACAGTAATTTATAGTTCTATTAAAAGAAAAAAATGTTTTACCAAACTCAGCATTTACGAACAAGAAATTATCAATGTTTTGAAACAAGTTTGATCTGTGCGGTGAGAGGAGCAACGTGCGAAATTTAAGGTTTCTAGCTCTTATAGCCTCTGAGATCGAAACGATCATACCCATGGGCGGACGGACAGCCAAAACCGCTGTTGTTGCTGATCAAGAATATATATACTTTAGGGTTCACGAATATCTCGTTCTGCCCCTTACATACATATTTACTCAACCCGTTACAAGTAACAAGTATTCAAAAGTAACTAGTTACTGCTGTTAAACCTTTCAAAAGTAACAGCGACAAAAAATTATCCTATGTCGTGCACGGATAGCAAAGCAAGGGTCTACTTGATGGTCGTTGCTTACTCAAAAGATTGACACCAAAAATTTCACTAAGAAATTACAACGACGACAAATGACTGGGTCAATGTTATAGATATGTTTATGATATATATTAATATAATGTTAGAAATACTTTTCAGCATTTTGTATACATTTCATAAACTTCCAGTTTTTTTCATTTTTGTGGTTGCTGTCTTGTTGCTTGCCTATTATTATACTTGTATAGTTTAAATCTTAATAACAGATTCTGTACTGAGGTTGTCCCTTTCGTACTCGTCGAAGAGCTGAGTACTGTAAAATGGCCTGTACTCAGGTTGTTCCATTCGTACTCTTCGAAGAGCTGAGTACAGTCACTAACCATACAATGCATAGACTTGTCAAACAGCGGAATAATCGGATACCGATAAATCGTCAACGACTGAGCCCCATGGGTGTCCGCGACCATTTTAGTGTGCCCAGACAAGGTAAGACTGCCGAGAGTGGCAGCCGAACGCCGGACTCGAAAGCCGAACGTTCAGTATGAAGCCGCATCTCGCTCAGCGCACAACGTTGCTGCGGCTGATGCTGATTCGTAATATATGTATGTTAGTATTAAATCTTTTCAGCCCAAATACATACATATGTATGTGTATATGCGTGTGCAGAGTGTGCCTCGCTCACACTTATTGCTTTGCGCACTTGTGTGCATCTCCTTCTCCCTGCATAGCTTCTCAAAAACCCCGAGATCTACAAACATACATATGTTTGTGTTGTGTGGATGTGCGCACAAGTAGATCGCGGCGTTTGTCGCGAGCCAGAGATTTTTTCTTCAATTGTCTGCCCTTTGTGTCTGTGGTGGCAAAATGCACACACATTCAAATGCTCTATCATGTATTTCTTCGTCCAGTCAGGCATAATGAGAAGAATCTGATATATTTATATTTATTAAAAATGTCCTAAATGATATATTTATATATTATATTTTAACTTTTTTGTTACTGTGGGGACCAACTTTGCTTAAAATTAAAAAAAAACTATGTCGTATTTCTGCAAGGGTAATTCTTCGTCGGCTTGTCGAATAATTTCAGAAAAGACCAAAAATTGAAAATGTTCAATTTTTTCGACTTGCTACTTGTGCACACGCACACTCTTTCGAGTAAGCAGTTGGGTGACATTATTAAAGGGTTTGGCCTGTTCATGTGCAAAACTCCTATTTTCCATGATTGTTGTAAGGGTAAGGGTGCCTGAACGTTCTTATACATATATATTTATTATTATTATTTATAAAAAACGGCGCGCCTACAAGTCGAGTAACACTCGCTGTTATTTGTAACTGGTATTTTTTGTAACTGTCACAGTTGTCACTGTGACACAGACAACACTATCGATCATCCCTAATTTATACCCTTGTAGGTGGTAAATATTTTGTCATGTAATGATTAACGCATAGAAGGAGACATACCCGACCCCAGATGAATATCTGAGTTTATATAGGTCCGTCCTCATGTCTGTTTCTATGCAAACTATTCTCTCCGTCTTACAGCCATCGTATTGAAACTATGCATAGGTCAGACTAGGCATTTACTAGTTTAACTGCAAAATCCTATCAACATCGGAACACATATCATATAGCTACCATAAGTCAAATGTTAAGTTCTTGTATGATAACATTTTTTTTTTCATTTTTGAAATCCTGAGTAAACCCGGCCTTAACATTCACTATGCTGCTCTATCTCTAGAAGAATCGTTCATAAAATATTTTCACCAAACTCAGCATTTACGATGTTCACTTTATCACATATCTGTGAAACCAAAATGTCAAAAAATACAAGGGATATTAAATCTTGGGTGTGCAGAAGATAACGGTCTTTAGCTGGTACAGTTCAGGGTATTATTTATTCGTGCACTACCGACAGGATCATTATCACTTATTTACGTTTTTTTTTAGTTAAAAGGGCATTTAAAAATCTACATATATATTCTTGAATATTGTTTACTGACCAATAAACTAGTGCATCAAATATTCTCAGAAATATGCTCGAAAACCTTATCAGCATTTGTCGACTTTTGGGGAAATTGGAAGCTATCGAAAAAAAATTAAAAATCTCTAGCTCCTTTATTCTCTGATATTTTTTTCATTTTCAGAGACAGAAGGACATCAACTCAAAGCTTCGTCCTGATAAGGGCAGTTAGAAAAGGCTGCCTTATGGATGTAACGTGCATTTACATTATATATTTTCATATCGTTGCAAAATGTACCATAAATTTGACAGGAAATGTGCAAAGGAGACACCTCATTCAGTTTAAATTATAGTGATAAGTATCATTATCTATGTATGTCGTTCAGTATCCATGTCTGTCTCGTTGTTTGAATGTTACTGTGTAAAATGTATATTAAATAACGCACACAATTGAAAGATAGGTCGAAAATGAGTTTATGTGTGATGATATTAAAATTGGTCTACTGGCTGTTGAACGGTCAGTATGTTTCCACAATTCTATAAAATATATGTATGTATGTAGGTCTTATATGATATGCAATTCGTATGTACATACGTACAAGGTTATTTAAACTTTGGCATCCCGAACATAACTGTTCTTTCTTGTTACCCGTATCTAAGGGTCCACTATTTACTTTTGGTAAATTTATTTCAAAAATTTATAATTGGCGTGTTCACAACAACAATATTCAAGCACTAACCAAAAAACATATAGACCGGACATGCAGAGTAAAATAGGTGGTCTCCAAAAATTGGTTTGCATCTGGTCCAACGAGCGAGTAAGATATACATATGACATCTTTTGATCGCTCACACTACAGGAAACTCCTTTGGCTTACTCTCTTCCATATGATTTGTGCGATAGAACGGCATCGCTGTTTTTTATCTCGCTCCCACTACAGGAAACTGCTTTGGCTTACTCTCTTCCATATGATTTGTGCGATAGAACGGCATCGCTGTTTATTTTTATCTCGCTCGCACTTACTCTCAGTGCTCTCAATGCTCTCTTCATGTCTAGGTACCGTTTAAATGTTTGTGTGTGCATGTGGCCGCACAAGCAAAAATGCCCACAAATTCAATTTTTGTCAAAAGTCGGTGGCATTTCTTCCCTTTTGAGGGGACGAGTAATATGAAATCATGAAAGGGTTTGCCAAGTCGATGCGAAATTCTTTCATTTTAGCTCGGCATTGCTGGAAAGGGTACCTAAGCGTTGGCATGTGTGCATTTAAAAGTTTTTGGACTTGCTATTCACGCATACTTGCATATTTTGTATATGAATAGAAACATTTATGCGCATGTGTGCCTGTTGGTCCCTGCCTGCCTGTCCGATCCAAATTTGACAATATTTTTGGACTTCTGAATTTCGAGCTCTGCGCATACACACACACAGACACAAATGTGTGTGAATGGGCAGATCATGGGCGCAAAAGAAAATATCATTTTTGGTCCGCGGTTGTCGCGCACCCTTCTTTTTATGATTTTGGGGTTGAATCGATGAAAAAATGTTGACCCCTCAATACCTGCAGATCCAATTCATATATGAAAAAGCTAAATATTTAAAGACAATAAAATTATGAATACTATAAATATATATAATTGCTCCTATTTTGTATTTGGTATATTTGAATATTTTAAAGATTTTATTTTTTACACAATTTTCTTAAAACTAGTTAAGTGATCAGTCACTTGACCCAAATATGCAGGTACAGGTGCTTGGCAAAATTTTACCCTTTCCACCCAACGGGCTGCTGCAGGGGTCAACATTTTTTCATCGATTCAACCCCAAAATCATAAAAAGAAGGGTGCGCGACAACCGCGGACCAAAAATGATATTTTCTTTTGCGCCCATGATCTGCCCATTCACACACATTTGTGTCTGTGTGTGTGTATGCGCAGAGCTCGAAATTCAGAAGTCCAAAAATATTGTCAAATTTGGATCGGACAGGCAGGCAGGGACCAACAGGCACACATGCGCATAAATGTTTCTATTCATATACAAAATATGCAAGTATGCGTGAATAGCAAGTCCAAAAACTTTTAAATGCACACATGCCAACGCTTAGGTACCCTTTCCAGCAATGCCGAGCTAAAATGAAAGAATTTCGCATCGACTTGGCAAACCCTTTCATGATTTCATATTACTCGTGTCCCCTCAAAAGGGAAGAAATGCCACCGACTTTTGACAAAAATTGAATTTGTGGGCATTTTTGCTTGTGCGGCCACATGCACACACAAACATTTAAACGGTACCTAGACATGAAGAGAGCATTGAGAGCACTGAGAGTAAGTGCGAGCGAGATAAAAATAAACAGCGATGCCGTTCTATCGCACAAATCATATGGAAGAGAGTAAGCCAAAGCAGTTTCCTGTAGTGGGAGCGAGATAAAAAACAGCGATGCCGTTCTATCGCACAAATCATATGGAAGAGAGTAAGCCAAAGGAGTTTCCTGTAGTGTGAGCGATCAAAAGATGTCATATGTATATCTTACTCGCTCGTTGGACCAGATGCAAACCAATTTTTGGAGACCACCTATTTTACTCTGCATGTCCGGTCTATATGTTTTTTGGTTAGTGATTCAAGCGATGAAGGCACGATTATTATCTTGAAAGCCCACACTAGATGCTGTGGTTTGTAAGCATGTTTGGAAGTATTTTACCTTGACCGTGACTTCTTCTCATTGGCCACGATCACCAGAAAACGTGTTCAATGATCAATTGTCACAAAAAGATTATACGGGTGATACTTCCCGGGGGATGATAAATTTTTCTGAAAATGCCGTTGTCAAAAAAAATCCGCTAGAACTCTCAAGTTTTTAATTGGCGTTACCATGTTATTTGCCTTAAACTTAATAATAATTTTGTAGTTGTTATTAATTAACAAAAATACATTGCATTAATAATAAAATATCTTTTGTTTATATACATATGAGTTGAAATTATCGATAAATATATAAATCCTTTCGATAAAAACAGCTAAAAGAATCACGGTAAAGTAGCATTCAGTTTACCAGAAAGGTCAGAGCGATCATAAAATTGATCATGGAACAAGTCGTGTTGAACGTGGCCACTATTAGTCACCATCAACTGAAGCACATGTATATATGCGAACTCTCAGTGCTGCTTTGTTGAGCTCGGTCATTGGCACAAAGGTAAGTGTATAACCGATACAAAGCACAAAAACGATTAACAGTTTTAAGCATAGACCGTTTAGGACTGCGTGTTTCAATTTAAGTAGGAAACAAAAATCCAAAACTCCTTTAAGACAAACACATAATTATTCTGTATTTGAAAGTCATTTCTAGAAGATATCCTCTTTTAAGTGGTATGTTGAATGCTTACCTTCACAAACAAAAAGCACAATAATGGTAACAAAAAACATCAAAATGATGAAGTTAGCGCTCCTCCGTGACGAAGTTTTCAAGGTTCTAGGCTTAGAGATGAAATTCCGCCCATGCTGATAATCCATTGTTCACTTAACCGCCTGAGCGGTAAACCTGTTAATAAAACGAATGACAAAAGCCAATTGTTAATAATTTTAAACATACATGCACCTAAATGCTTTTGGAAAACAAAATAAATATAATAATAAAAATATAAATATAATTGTTTCAGCAAGCCAAAAAATAAATACCCAAACAGGCATAAAGCAGAAAAATTTATTTTTCGCCCGATTCGTCCTATACTGCTACATAATATAGTAGCCCGATATTGATCAGATTTAGCCTATGTGTAAGGAGCATAGTAAAACTGTAAATAGTGAGTTTGTCAAAATACCTTAATGAATAACAATTTCTGTCATAAAAGAACTTATTTTTCGACCTGGCCGGTATAACCTAAGTACTGCCTGTAATAAAAAATCGAGCTTTTGCAAAGTTTGCTTATAAACAGATAGACTTTATGAAAGGCTGTTGATATTGAGTAAGAATTTATTACTCTTTGGTTACGGAGATGGACTAAGTATTGAACCATACCCAAACTAAATCTTATCGTCTCCGTCAATGATTGAGCACAACAGGCGTCCTGTATACCAATCACGTAAGACAGCCCATCAGCTGAGTATAAAGTCCCTTTAACCATTGATTGGCGTTCAAAGATCGTGGTTTACAATACAGTATATATGTATGTATATGTCTGGTAAGCGGTAAGTGACAAGCATCAAAAGGGGAAGCTAATTTCTCTTTTGCTCATATACGGCTGCATGGTGCAATCGCTGGTCATACTCAATGAGTGAGCGAAATGTCAAGGCTAGTGTAAGGGAGACACAAAATCAGATACATTATACATATGTATTTCGTTAGGACATTCAAAACAAGCTCTGTTGAAACTACCTTAACATATTAAATGACTATGGTCTTATGTAATATTTATGCAAAGCTTGAAATATATTCTTTCCAACTATTCATTTTTTCAATGACGTCACTCACGCACCTACTTAATATAAGTTTTGTTGAATAGCTATGTATGTATGTATATACATTACGAGCACATTAATAAGATAATAAAAACGTTAACTTTAAATGGATATCATTGGCCCCCTATGATTACATAAATAAATTAATATATTCAATATTTATTTATGTATGTATACATTAATATTTGTGTTGATTTCCTTATGTACATTGACTGTGCATGTTCTTACAAAATCACATGTATATGTTTTGAATACAAGATAATAAAAAACTGGTATCGATGAAACTTTCTCAATTTGCTATTCAGCCGACATAAAACATACGCGCCGACGTTGCGAATATCAACACGGTGTATATACTACTGAACAGAGTTCAGTTGTTGAAGCTTTGCATCAATCTCTTGAGCGAAACAAAATCGAAAAACTTGTTTTACGACTAGAGAAAACAAACTTTAACTTTAGCTCTCTGACTCTCACTCTTTGATCGCCACTCAGTGGAACGTAAAAAAAACCGAAGCATTGCCATTCGTTGAACTTTTTAGTAAACCAGCTGATTTTATCAGACGTGGCTCAGCCAACTCTTTCTTTATGACTTAAATTACCCCCAGTTTAGTTTTGGCAGTCATTGCGTTCACTTTAAAAGTAAATGTTATGGACTGACGAATGAAATGTATAGTCTCATGAATAAAAATATCATGTTTTGTAATACGCCAATGAAAGTGACGACAAAGGTTTCCACTGTGTGAGATGGGTATCCATCCCTTGGTGGTGGCAGGTTATTTGTTTAATGGCATCGGCGATTTGGTTCCAACCAAAAGATTAACATACGATATTTTTGCAGAAATTTTGTTGACAACAGGACAATGTTATAAATTTAAGATGATTACAAACTTGCTTAAGGATTTTAAATTGAATACCATTGGCCACCATAAATCAGCGACTTAAATATTTTGAGAATGTATAGGCTTATGCAAAGCGAAACAGAAGTCCATCGTTGAAAAGTTAGTTTCTAAGAAATCCTTCAAAATTTGATGAAGTCAATGCCAAATCGACAGAAAAAAATGTTACTAATGCCAAGGAAGGTAGTAAATTGAATCAATATTATAGAAATATCATATACATATGCACAATAGAATCTATTGTATAAAACCACTAACCAAAGAACATTTTTTGGACCAGATGTCCCGATTTTTTAGTGCCCACATTTCTAGTACGGCATGCCCCATCTATATGTTCTTTGGTTAGTGATAAAACGAAGGGTTATAGTATACCTATATGTCATATAGGTAAAGAAGATTAGCATAAAAACCCTATGAAACAGCATATTACCGCATTTGATGAAACGGATATTTTTTTTTACAGAATTGGGGCACCTAAAAACCATATGGACTGACACAAAATTATCTTTGTCGAAGTTTTACCCTAGCAGCCGTTTGCTGTCTATATACTTAAATTATTAAATATTGTTCTTAATTATTTTTGAATTAGAAGAATAAAATAGCTCAGGCAAGCTCGCGACCACGTTGCTTGGGATACCCACACTTTATCGGTCACCCCCAAGTTGGGGGCAATGCTATTAATCTTAAATAAAAGATGACAATATCCTTTTTTTTTGTAAAAGCTTATATATATATTTTATTATAAACAAGATTACTTCTACCTAACATTGGCAGCTAAGCAGGTTTTGTGTGAGGCACTAAAATTTAACAAAACTTACTGCTATTCAGGCTAAGGTGCACAAAATTAAGGCTATAATGCGAAAAGTTTTTAATTATGTTAATTATATCAAAGTGTTATTATGAGCTTTAGTTAAGAGAAATATTTCAGGTGGATCCTGTGGATCGCTCCGTTTGAGTCTTCTCTTTCTTGCCCTAGAGAGCCAAGCTCCAGTAATAGGTCACCTAATTCTTCTTCTTCCAGGAGAAGAAAGGCGCCTTGCTAGCGGGTTGGGATGGGAGCGAAGGCGCTCAAAGTATCGTTCGGGATGTTCTCGATATCCCTAGTACGCGTATACAAAGGATCACTGCAGATGCTTCTAAGAATATTGCTTTGTGTGACTCTTATTTTGTTGAGGTGAAATTTTACGGCAGTCCCGTACATTTGCAGAGCATAGGTCCATATAGGAGACAATATCTCTATATATAAAACTGTTTTTCCCAGCAAACCGTAAGAACTAGGAAGTTGGTATTTGCACTGCAGTTACCTTGTGTGATAAAGATGCACGTGAAAAATCGTGTGGAAAAATCGCGAAGAACGTTTGTATGAAACTTTTTTGTTTACCATCTGATCGGCCTCAAACAAATTCTCAAAGATTTTTACTCAAATTCATTAAAGAGGTGTTTCACACTTTTCGAAAAATCCATTCCTTCTTGATGGAAATGGTGTGTTTTTGCAGAATCCCGGCTTTCTCGGTGGAAAGTGCAATTCAAAGATTCTTTTGGTGAAGTTTTAAGTTTTGTTGAATTGTTTCAAACTACATAAGAACTTAATGAATACGTGTCTCAGCGGTATGGGAAATTTCACCCGTAACAGTGGTAAATTCGCGGAAAACAGTTGTATGAAATATTTGTTTTATCGTCCGATCGGTCTTAAACTCATTTTCAAAGATCTTTGAGATTCGGGTACCCGATAGTTGACTTATATATATTCTTTTTGTTTGTGAGTGAATGCTTGTTTTAGCAGAAAGCAGCTATGGCACATTTGCAGCTTTATAAAGTAGTGTTCGCTGGACCATTGATACATGTATGCTGAACATGATTTTTCTTTCCAAAATTACCCCGAAAGCAGCTTCAAGTTTTAATATAGAGTCGATCAACATTCCCCCCGGACAAGACTCTTTCCTTGTAGCAAACGGAGCATTTGCACACTTGCTTCTATTGATGATGAAATTTCAAACCAAGGCCCATGTTTCGAAGCTACCCAGGCATTCCAGTAACCCCTCTGTGGCAGTGCCTGTTAGAGGACACCTGGTCAGCACAACAGTGTCATCTGCAAACGGGGCTATACGAACATCCTCCCTGTCCAATGATGTAGCCGAGCTGGTTTTTGGCATGCCAAAAACCAAAGATGCTGCCTTGTGTGACTGCGGCGCATACGGATCTGTTTGTCGACTTTGCACCATCGACGAGTACACAAAATTTTCTATCCTTTAAGAAGAAACTTACTAACTTACTAATTGTGGGGCTAGGAGGCTCTTTACAAATCTTTTTTGTTGAGTCGCCCTTCTAAGTCGAAGAAGGCGTAAGACTGGCATTATTTCTACCTGAAAAATGTTTGTAAATTTTGATTAAGATTCGTGACTTCGACTTGGTCCGTAGACTTCGACTCATGCATGTCATGTCATCCAAATTGCTATATTTATATACTAGCTGGTATATTCGGGCTAGCCCGATCCAAGATTTGTATAAAATTTCACCTTCAAAATTCAAATCTAGCCATTTTGCCCCACGTTCCAATCAATTTTACGAAGGTATTTACAAATTAATAGTTTTCTACTTTAGTCCTGAGGTGAGAGATTAATGCGGAACAATAAACATTCGCCAAAGCAAACAATGTGAAACACGCATTACATGAAATATTTTTGAAAATGTGTTTGAAGACAATCGGATGATAAACAAAAGAATTTCACATCACCATTTTCCGATGTATTTGCGGGTGGATTTACCCTGCAAGAAGTGATTATACATCTTTATCGCTTAAATTTAGTTCAACTAATTATACTTTGCATGAACCGTTCAGGGTCCTCTGTGATGATTACAAGTATTACAGGGTATTCTGCACGAGGTCTTCTCCTCCTCATATAAAGTAATCAATTCTAAATTATCTAGCAAGTAGGTTGTCTTAAGCTATAGTGTTAGTTTGTATTCGTTTTTGTATTTCCGCAGTGCATGATCGTATTGAATCAATTCATAAGCAATTTCTGCTTTTACCTTACGAGTTTTAAATTGGGACCCCAATTTTCGGTGGCCATCCTACTCCAACAGGCTTCTTCTTCTTAATCTTCCGTCGTTAACCAATCGTAAGAGAATCCTCGGTGTTGTCTTCCTACATAAGTTGATTGTTGGCGACTTACATCCTTCTTTTCTGTTAGTCTTCAATTCTCTGTTCCGTACTGTACTTTCTCCCTAGTTGTCTCTCTTCTACCTCTTCTACCAACACCAAATGCAAATGGGTTCATGGTATCCCCTAGTCGGGAGCTCCCGACTAGAACCTCTTACTTGTTTTTTGTTTAATCTGTCGTTCCTATACAAATGTTGTATGGGTAGTGGTTAAACAAAGCAGAGCTGAAATAATTATGTTATGTAATATTAATATATCCCATAACCAAATAATTAGTTTTTATTTATTAATTTTAATTTTTTTATTTATGTATTTGTTAAAAAGAAATTTATAAGTATATGTTTGCAGTTTCCCTTTACATAAACTAAGCTTGACGCCGCCGAAGCGTCTTTTCTTCATGCCTTCTCTTATGTTTTTTTTCAATGCGCAAAGACACCAACATGTATTTGCAGGGTTTTGCCTGCATGTTGTCCAAAGTGTGCGAAAGAGAATAACAAATTTACATGAAGTGCAACTCAACAATATTTGTAAGGCAATACAAAAACAAATAAAAATAAAAAAAAAGAATCCCTTTAATTTTAAACCTTTTCGATTTAATCACTTGGTAAGCGGCGGGGACAGCGGGCCACCGGTCTCAGGCCCGAAAGCCAACTGTCTCCGCCAGAGCTACAGGGATTATACCGATTTAAAATGTATTTACGTAAGTAGCACTATTAGTTATAGTACTTCAGATCTGGGCGTACGGTATTTCCTAGTCGAGCATTCTTGCTTGTTAAAGGGCGATAAGAATTGTTTGCTTCGGTCTTACAAATAAGGTGATAAGGCGAAAGCCAAAAGAGCACTGCTTGAAAAATTGATACGGACTGCAGTTCAATGTTATTATTCACCCAAACCACTTCATTTTAAAAGCGCATGTAAAACTCACTAATCTGGATTATTTTTAACCTAATTTGCTTTTAAGCATGTGTTTAAGCATACTCAAGCCGCAGCCACGTAAAAACATAAATTACCTAAAAACAAGTAAGAGGTTCTAATCGGGAGCTCCCGACTAGAGGATACCCTGAACCCTCTTATTCTTATATACACCAAATGCAGCTCGCGCTACGCGGTCGTTTGCTTTAGTGGTAATGAAGATAAATTAAAAAAAAACTGATCGCGCTACTTTCCGCCGCCTCTACTCAATAGCCACACCAATAATTGAGCCTTGACGAGAAAAATACCAAGTAAAATAGCAGCACAGAAAACAATACAATCGCAACTGCAATGCTGTTGATAGAATTGAAAGAAGACGCGCATGAATGTGTGCGTGTACATGTATACAGAATTTCTTGCAATTTGCGCTATCTGTTGCTAACAACACGTGCGCGCAGCTGTCTAATACACATAACTTTTGTTTGTTTCTTAACCGATCTTAATGAAATTTTCTAGAGTAGTGCTATGGAATATTTGTATATTCTCAAAAAGTCAATTGCATTAAATTTGTAGCTTAAAAATTGGTGGACAATACAAGTTGGGTTGTTAACTTGATTTATACCTTTGTGGCGGTAGGGTTCGACTCGTAACTGATCATCACGCTACTTCCCGCCGCCTCTACTCAATAGCCACACTAACAATTAAGCCTTAATGAGAAAAAAACGAATTCAAATAGCAGCACAGAAAAACAATACAATCGACACTGCAATGCTGTTGATAGAATTCAAAGCAGACGCGCCTGAATGTGTGTGTGTGTACATGTATACAGAAATTCTTGGAATTTGCGACATAACTTTTGTGTTTCTTAATCGATCTTAATCAAATTTTCGACAGTACATCTTATTGTAGAATAGAATAAAGAATATTTGTGTATTCTCAAAAATTCAATTGCATATAAATTGTGGCTTAAATTGATGGGCAATACAAGTTGGATAATTTGGAAAATTTTAACTTGATTTATAGATTTGCGGTGGTAGCGGGGAGGTGGCGATAGGTATAAAGTTAAAAATACTTGATATGTATATGTATATACATATACTATTCTAGAAGCTACATATCAAGTATGGTGACTCTAGCTCATATTATATGCCGAAATCGCTCAAAAAACAAGATTTCAATATCGATTACTTGGAAACGGGGCAAGTTATCAAATATCGGAGGACCTACAGCTAAAATTTCAAGTCTCTAGCTCTTATAGGTTCTGATATCCTTGCGTTCATACATACGGACAGACGGACAGACAGACAGACGGACATGGCTAGATCGACTCGGCTATTAATGCTGATCAAGAATATATATACTTTATGGGGTCGGAGATGCTTCCTTCTGCCTGTTACATACATTTGCACAAATACAATATACCCTGTTTACCCATTTTTAATGGGTTCAGTGTATAAAAATATGTCATTGTGCTGATTTAATTCATTCAATGGCAGAAATACCTTTAGCAATTAAAGAAACAACATTAACAGCCTATTTGATATAGCCATGTCCGTGTGTCTGATTGTAATTTTGGTACGCAAAATCTTCGCTCAGTTGGAACCGCTCGGATCGGTCGTAAAGTAGATCGGTTGTTAATCAAGATATCTTGACCAAACTTGGCATTTTCAATAGGCTTCTTACATATAAACATAATATTATTAACATGACCTACGTGCCATAGGAACGTTCGGTAGAAAATTAAGATCTTCTATGAAAAAAATTTTGTTTTTAAGATATCTGGACTAAACTATACTATCATAGAAAAGTTGAGTTATTGTATAAAAAACTTTTTATCAGGATATTTCGACCAAATCTGGCATTTATTAGTTTTAGTATGCTGCTTATACATATATATTATATAGCTCTTTATGAAGAAATGTCGAAAAGTTAGTTTTTGTATGGCAAAATATTCTGTTTTCCAAGGGCGAACGGATATGACTAGAAATTTAAAAAATAAAAAATACAAATAATAAACTATTTCTGCTACTGGATCCAAACGAGCTAATTGCCCTCGCATGAACGAACCAAGACATCGATGATTTGATAAAAACTCGTATAGCGCCGGCACTAGGAGGACCTACTCTCTCTAGCTCCCAAAGGTTCTGAGATCGACGCGTTCATCCTTACGGAAAGACGGACGGACAGACAAGTGGACTTGGCTACATTTATGCTGACCAAGCATATACATACATACTTTATGGGGTCGAATGGAATGATTTCGTTCTGTTGTTGTATGATGTTACAAACATTTGAACATACATTTTCGAAATAGACGTGAAAATACCTATCACTGGCACTTACTTGCAAGCAAACTCACACGTTGTGACGGTGGCGTCTTGCTTAAGCTTTACATTTGTTTTTACCTATTTAATGGGTAAAGTGATGCACTATGAAAAATATAATTTCAGAAAAAAAATTATTTTCATATGGCAGTCTCGACCTCGCAACTACCCTTAACTGACCAAACTTTGCAATCGGCACCATTCAACCATTCTAAGAATTGAGTCATGGTCATTGTCTGTCTGGCCCTAGGTAGCAACGTGCCGATCTCAGAACTAGTGACGTGACATTTTGAACAAACAATGCAGCCACAACGTAAACTGCGGTATGTAGACGATAGCTAGAATGCTTGTGATAGCCACTCAGCTCGGGGTTCAAGGAATATCCTTGTTGGGCACTCCTGACTAAAGCGTTCTTATTTGTTAGAGCTTAAGTTGCTTTATTTTCCAGGTTGATAACTAATGAATCTGCACCTAAGATCAAACCAATAGAATTTCGACAGCAAAAAATAATAACTGAAAACATAATTGTAAAGCAGTATACTAAGACTGAAAGTCAGTTATTAAACAATACAGAATACATATATTTCTTGATATTATCGGTTGTATCCGAATGTGGCATATAGCGTTTGAACATCATTTGGCAATCACCCTTAACATCCTTATACGATCGCTTTTTCAAAGCAGATCTATAAATGTATTTATTTCTTTTGTATTTATGTATATTTATTTAGCAGAACCTAAGCGTACGATCTTTTCTGTCAACTAGCAGTGCATACACTGTTTGCTGCCCATTCCTAAAAAGAAGTAAAAGGGCAAACATGACCTATAAATGCAATTATCGTTCCCGGTGCAATACAATTGCACTTTTTACGCTTTTGCATATCGGCCAAAAAATAAGAGGAAGCGATGCTAGTGTACAGTTTCATCACCAGTCAGTAGAAAACAAATATCACTTAAGTGAGACATTTCAAGATGAAATGGAACAAATGGATTCACCAAAGGACCAAAAGCTTATCGTACGGTTGCCATCCAACACACTTCTCAAGTACACCTCCTATAAAGATGTTTCTATACTTCACTTTCGAGTTCCATTGGATTCGCGAGCTGCGTATTTTAGTTTTAAAGCGTTCGAAGAATCAAAGAGTGCCTTTCGTAAGTAAACAATACATACAATTTAATACAAAACTATGATTTGCAATATAAATATTTGTAGAAAGAAAATGCAAACCTAAGGATGTTACTCTTCATTTAAAGGCCAACAGTTTTCCTGTAATAAGTCCAGAAAATATTACTTTTCCAAAAAATTTTTTAATCTCCGACGAAAGGTAAGTGTTGCAACTCAAATTTCAGATTTTTTATTCTTATAAGTTAGTACATCAGGTTGAGATAATACTCTTTTTGTTGTTGTTACACTTTTACTCAACTATTTGAAGGGCATTAAAAAAACATTTTCAATAAAAAGTTTGTTCCGTCTGCCAGTGTCGAACTCGGCACCGATCGAACTACTTTCTATTGGGTCATACATTATAGTAAAATGAAATATATATAGCCTTATACCAGGAATTTAATATTTAGTAATAAATAAGTATGGGGCTCTATCCTCGCGCTTGGTTTAGCAGTACTAAAACGAGAAAGAAGGGCTATCTTCGGCACGCCGAAGATTTAATATCCTTGCAGAGCCAACATTTTCATAATGCTCATAATACTTTTCCCGTATCTAAGAATCACAGGGAAAATAGTTAATGCCGAGTATGGTTAAGATATCATGAACAACATAAAGTTTTTCATAGAAGAAACTCATTTTTGACCGATCGATCGGCAGCTATATGATATAGTGGTTCGATGTAAACAAGATTTTGCATAAATGTAGAGGGCATAGTGAAACTTATAAATGCCGAGTTTACTCAAGATATCATGAAAAACAAAAAAGGTTTTTCATACAAGTACTCTCTTTTCGACCGACTGTTTCTATGGCAGCTATATTATAGCCCGATATAAATAATTTTGCATAAATGTAGGGCACATAGTGAAACTTATGAATGCCGAGTTTGGTCAAGTTATCTAGCAAAACAAAATTTAATTTTCGACCGATCGTTCCTATGGCCGCTATATAATAGAGTAGTCCAATGTTGATTGAATTTAGCATATTTATGACACGCATAATAAAACTAATAAATGCCGATTTGGTTAAGATATTTTGATAAGCAAACAAATTTTCATACAAAAACCTACTTTTCAACCGATGGCTCCTATTGCAGCTATATGATATAGTGGTCCGATCTAGCCGGTTCCGACATGAGTACTGCGTTCAACAGAAAAAGGGACATCTGCAAAGTTTCATAACGATAGCTTTAAAACTTTAAAACAAGTAAGAGGCTCTAGTCGGGAGCTCCCGACTAGGGGATATCCTGAACCCTCTTATTCCACCTCCAAATGCAGCTTGCGCTCGTTTGCTTTAGTAGTAATAAAGATAAATTTAAAAAAAAGAGTTCACTTGGCAGGTTGAGAACTCGCAACTAACCGCACAACAGCCACACCAATTATTGAGTCTTAATGAGAAAAAACCGAATTTCAATAGCAGCACAGAAAACAATATAATCGCAATTGCAATGCTGTTGATAGAATTCAAAGCAGACGCGCGTGTGTGTGTACATGTATACAGAAATTCTTGGAATTTGCGCTTGCTGCCGCTGATAGGAGATAGGAGGACCTACATCTTAAATTTAACAGCATTGTAATAGCGATTGTATTGTTTTCTGTGCTGCTATTTTGATTGGTTTTTTTCTCAATAAGACTCAATTAGTGGTGTGGCTGTTGAGTAGGGGCGGCGGCAAGTAGTGTGTTCAGTTGCGAGTTCGAACCCTGCCAAGGGAACTTTTTTTTTTTTTAATTTATCTTTATTACTACAAAAGCAAACGAGCGCGTAGCGCGATCTGCATTTAGTGATGTAATAAGGGGGTTCAGGGTATCCCCTAGTCGGGAGCTCCCGACTAAAACTTCTTTTTTGTTAAATCAAAAATCCGTCGTAGGCTGCTTGGACTTCCTGAGACGTTGATATTAGGGACTAAATGCCCGCTTTGCCGTATTTACTTTCTACCCAGACACTCCCAGCGATAGCCTTGTATGACTCACAAATTACTGCGACGTCGATTTTTCCCTCCTTCATTGATTGGCCTGTAGAGACTCGCAGTGGTTGAGGATGAGTTCTTTCGGCTGAGTATGCTCCTTAGCAAGGTATTACATCGTGTGCTCTATCGATGCCGACGACGTTCTTGGATTCGGGCTACATTGTGGATCCTGTTAGCAGTCCCTAGGCACAGTTATGATCTGCCTATTTAACTCTTGCTTTACCTCGCAAGGGTGCCTATCTGTATTTATATACCCCGAACCCATTTAAAATGAGTAAAAAGGGTATAATGTTTTTGTGCACATGTATGTAACAGGCAGCAGGAAGCATCTTCGACCCCATAAAGTATATATATATATTCTTGATACGCATCAGAAGCCGAGTCGATCTAGCCATGTCCGTCCGTCGGTTCGTCCGTCCGTATGTATGAATGCAAGGATTTCAGAACCTATAAGAGCTAGAGACTTGAAATTTGAAACGTAGGTCCTCCTAGTGCCCGCGCAGTACAAGTTTGGTTCCAATAATCAGTTACTTGCCCCGTTTTCAAGTATTCGATATCGAAATCTTGATTATTGAGCAAAACTTGTAATTTGAAGAGCTACTGTCACGAAACTTAATATGTTGCTTCTAGAATAGTATGTATATATCAAGTATTTTTCACATTATATCTATCGCCACCTCCCCGCTATCTATACATAGCTATAAATTAAGATAATAAACCAACTTGTATTGCCCACCAATAGAAGACAAAATTTTAATGGAATTGACTTTTTGAGTATATACAAATATTCTATAGCATAATAAAATCTACTGTTGAATTCATCAAGATCGGTTAAGACACACAGAAGTTATTAAAGAAAACTAGCCACGAGTTTGGGGCAGCTAGCGCAAATTTCATGAATTCCGGTATACATGTACACACACATAATCATGCGCGACTTCTTTGAATTCTTTCAACAGCATTGCAGTTGCGATTGTATTGTTTTCTGTGCTGTGTGTATTTGCTGCCAATTCATTTGGTTTTATTTTTTATACCCTGAATAAATTAAAAATGGGCAAAAAGGGTATAATGTATTTGTGCAAATGTATGTAACAGGCAGAAGGAATCATCTCCGACCCCATACAAAATATATATTCTTGATCAGCATCAATAGCGGAGTCGATCTAGCCATTTCCGTCTATCTGTCCGTACGTTCGTCCGTATGTATTAACGAAAGGATCTCAGAACCTATAAGAGCTAGCATGAAATGTAAGCTTTAGGTCCTCCTAGTGCCCGCGCAGATCGAGTTTGTTTCCGATATTCGATAACTTGCCCCGTTTCCAAGTAATCGATATCGAAATCCTGTTTTTTGAGCGAATTTGGTCGCCCGCTATCACCACATAGCCATAAATCAAGTAAAAACTCCAATTTGTATTGCCCACCAATTTAAGCCACAATTTAAATGCGATTGCCATACTGAGAATACACGAATATTTTAAAGTACAATAAGATCTACTGCTGAAAATAACATCAAAATCGGGTAAGAAACACAAAAGAAAACAGGTTTTGGCTGCCCACGTGTTTACGGCAGCTAGCGCAAATTCCAAGAATTTCTGTATACATACATATACACACACTCACATTCATGCGCGTCTTCTTTGAATTATATCAACAGCATTGCAATTGCGATTGTATAGTTTTCTGTGCTGCTGTTTTAATTTGTTTTTTCTCAGTAAGACTCAATAATTGGTGTGGCTGTTGGGTAGAGGCGGCGCTAGGTAGTGCGGTCTGCTTCGAGTTCGAACCTAACCGAGGAAACTATTTTTTTTTGGCTGATGTGTCTGTTGAGTATAGGCGGCGGCAAATAGTGCGATCTACTGCGAGTTCGAGCCCGACCAAGGAAACTATTTTATTCTTTTGGGCTGCTGTGGCTGTTGAGAAGAGGCGGCGGCCAGTAGTGCGGTTAGTTGCGAGTTCGAACCCTGGGAACTTTTTATTGGAAATGTATCTTTATCACTACTAAAGCAAACGAGCGCGTAGCGCGAACTTCATTTGGTGTTGGATTAAGAGGGTTCAGGGTATCCCCTAGACGGGAGCTCCCGACTTGAACCTCTTGATTGTTTGATATGCATTAATTGTTCGTGTGTCTGTTGAGCAGAGGCGGCGGCAACTAGTGTGGTCTGTTGCGAGTTCGAACCCTACCGAAGGAATTTTTTTTTTTTGAATGTTATTTTATAACTGCTAAAGCGAATGAGCGCGTAGCACGAGCTGCATTTGGTATTGGCACATGAGGGTTCAGGGTATCCCCTGGTCAGGAACTCCCGACTAGAGCCTCTTATTTATTTGTGTATGTAGTATGCATAGAAGGTATATAGAATAATAGTTATGGCAGATAAGCGCTGGGTTCAGGCGACTAGGGCACGTTTACTGGATCTTAGTATTTTTACGTTTTACGCTTCCTTATAGCCGTTTGCATAATCTCTATCCGTTTATACCACATTCATTAAAAACCTCAAACATAAATTATACAAATTTTGTAACCAGTAAATTTGTTAATTTAATCTGTTATTAGGAAATCATTAATAATTTCTCGGTTAGTAAATAACAGGCTTACAGTATAACCGATTGTCTGCATACTATATAAAATGCAAAATTACCAAGGACCTCAGATAATTTTCTCATTGTGTTAAAGGGTATTAAATAAATTTCTTCGGTTTCAAAACCAATGAGAACCACATAATGTTCATCTCAAAATCAATTAAAACAAAAAAATAGTATTGTATACATACTTAAAACATGAACAAATCACATTTTTATTGAACAAGTAAGAGATACCTTGCACTCTCTTCTACCAACACCAAATGCAGTTCGCGCTACGAGCTCGTTTGCTTCTTAGTAATAAAAATATATTTTAAAAAAATGGTCTCTTAATTGGACTCGACTGCACCCCGTCTCTACGCACCCCGTCTCTACGCGACAGCAATACGAACAAATCATTTTTAGAATTCAATAAAGACGCGCATGGGTGAAGATGTGAATGTGTACAGAATTTCTTGCAATTTAAGCTAGCTGACGCAAGCACGTATCAATATAATATTTTAATCACTTTTTATCGGTTTTTATCGATTGCTTGGAATCGGAGCAAACTATGCGGGTACTAGGCGGAAATACGTTCATAAATACGGACGGACGGACATGGCTAGATCGAATCATTATTAAAGCTGATCAAGAATATTTATATTTTTTATGGCGACGGAGATGTTTCCTTCTGCATTTTTCAGACAGACAGACAGACAGGCGGACATGTCTAGATCGACTCATCTATTAAAGCTAATCAAGAATATATATACTTTATGGGGTCGGAGATGCTTCCTTCTGCCTGTTACATACATTTTGCACAAATACATTATACCATTTTTACCAATTTTTAATGGGTTCAGGGTATAAAAGCACACGCATCTGATACCAAGCGGAGTGTTAGCCTGCTTGGGAAGTGCGTGTGACGGTCCTTGTGTACTTGTGTTGTAGCTGATCAGCTGCAATATACTACACATATAACTGCATATAACATATAGTCGGCGGCTCGACAATTGAAGTACTATGAAAGTTTCACGTTTTCTACAACACACATACAGTGTATGGCTTCGGTAAATGCTTTCATCGCAATACCCGCCTGAGTACACACTTTTATCCTAAAAGGGTGATACGGTCAGATAGGAATAGAATGCTAGGCTCTCAAATTATCCTCGAAAAAAATAAAACATAAATATACATGTAAATATAATATACTAGCGGGTATTGCCCGGCCTTGCCCGTGTAAAGATTGGTGCTAACAATTTTAGATATTTGCCGATTCACCGATGGCACTTGGTGCAAAGCAAATATCTAAATACCAACTTTTATTAAAAAATATGTTCGAAGTGCTTCGAAAAAACAACCAAATGTTGGAATGGCTTCCGCCAAAATATCCTTGGCTGCCATTTTTTACCAAGGAAGCTTGCATCTGCAAAAAGTGTGTAACACTTCTCAAATGAAACATCACCCACCAAATCTTTGACCCTCATTTCCGCCAAGAAGGCATGGATTAGGGCCAATTTGATGGTAAAAAAAAATTTCATACGTCCGTTTTTCAAGTTTTTTCCATACTTCCGGGTGTAGTTTTCCGTAAAATAACTACAGTGAACATTTTCAGCATCCTAGCTCCTACGGATTGGGCTGTGAGTTGATCATCAATCAGTCAGTCAGATAAATTTAGTGCTTGAAATACTTGAACATTCATATATAGACACTTTAATCTTTTTATGCTAATTGTTATTCCATATTTTCAGATTCAAAGTATATAACCTGGAGTTTCTGTCTGATCAGACGAAACATCGCATTGATATACAGAGTCCTCAAATAGGAAGTTGGTTTGCAGTTGCTTTCGTCAGTTGGACAGATCCAAATAATGAGCGCATTGAACAACAAGGTAATAAAATTTTGTAACTTAATCAGCACCACTATTTATGGAACAAAAAGATAGGACGTCTCATACAAAAAAATTATGCACAAGAATTTTTTGCGGCAGAATCTTCGACTTTGCTCAGGAACGAAGCTAACAGTGAGCCCACTGAATGTATTGTGGCAGATGACCACAAAATTAGTCGTTCTCGCTTTGTTTTGTACCCCGAGTTGTATATTCAGTTTTTTTTTTTTTTTTTTTGTAACAGTTGAGGTCGCGTGCGTACATACCCTGAAGTGAGTCGGTCGGTTTTGAGAGTTGATTGGCCCCTGGTGATGGAGACTGATGGATTTCTGACAATGAATTTTATCGCTACTCAAACGAGCGCGTAGTGCGATTTGGAGCTGGTAGAAGAGGATTCAGGGTATTCCCTAGTCGGGAACTTCCGTCTAGAGCTTCTTACTTGTTTAATTATGCTAATATATCTCTTTACTCATTAAATATGTAAAAATGTGTTTAACTTGAGAAAGAACTCATATATGCTATAATCATTTTTGACCCGCTCCTCCAATCCTTCGAAAGCATATTTGTAGATCAGGTGTGAATAATGTTACCATTTTTATACCCTGAACCCATTGAAAATGGGAAAAAAGGGTATTATGTATTTATGCAAATGTATGTAACAGTCAGAAGGAAGCATCTCCGTCCCCATAAAGTATATCTATTCTTAATCAGCATCAACAGCCGAGTCGACCTAGCCATGTCCGTCTATCTGTCCGTCCGTATGTATGAACGCAAGGTTCTCAGAACCTATAAGAGCTAGAAAAATTGAAATTTTAGCTGTAGGTCCTCCTAGGTGCCCGCGAAGATCGAGTCGGGTGCTCTCGACTAGGACCTCTTACTTGTTACCTTTGTTCAGCTTTATATGCAGTTACAAAGGATCGATATTCTAGAATCCAAAACAGATATTATTAAGTGTCAGGTGACATTTTCATACCCTGAACCCATTGAAAATGGGTATAATGGTTTTATGCAAATGAATGTAACCGGCAGAGGGAAGCCACTCTGACCCGATAAGGTATATATATCCTTGATCTGCGGCAATAGCCGACTCGATCAATCCATGTCCATCTGTCTGTCCGTCCGACCGTATGTATATCTCAGAACCTATAGAGGCTAGCTCATCAAATTTGACATGAAGCTTCTAGAAGCTTTTTATTTGTTTGTTTATTATATTGAATCAAAAATAGCATAAATTTTTATTACAACACAGTTGGCTTAGGTGATATTACACCAAGCCTGTTTGAGTCCTCGGGCTTTATCGTGGACAAACGTCAAAGGCGGCTTTTTGAGTAAGGCTGCATCGTCACGTAGGTAGTCGGGGGACTCTGGGGCGTCTCCTATGTCGGGTTTGGAGAAGGTCCTTAAACGATCTTCTCTTGAGCCTCCTGACTTCACACCTCCCAGCGAGGTCTCTTGCTACCCGGCTGCAGTGTCGCTGAAAGCGTTCGTTGTACCGGTTGGCGAATGCTCCGACTTGGCTGTCTATGGTCTCCATTTTGAGGTCTCTGTGCAAGGTAGAATTTCTGACGTACCAGTCAGCACCCGTAATTCGGCGCAAGGCCAGGTTTTGGAGTGTCTGAATCCGTCTTCGATTTGTCCGAGATGCAATGCCCCCAACCTGAATACCGTATCTCACCACGACGTTTTAAACTGCCCGTTTGCAGCGAAGTGGCAATGGGCTGTTGGTGTTTAGTAGCCAGTTGGCCTTGGCCATCTTATAGCGGCACTGCTTAAGAAGGCCGTGGATGTGCGCCCGAAAACTAAGCCTCTTATCCAGTACAATTCCAAGATACTTAGCGCTTCTGCCAGGGTGAAGGGGACTACCGTCTATCCAGACTGCTGGAGCCTTGCCACGCCTCAGTGTGTAGCTGACCGCCTGGCACTTTGAGGCATTGAGCTTGATGTTCCATCTGCGTGTCCAGCTCTCAAGCAGGTGGATGTATTCCTGGGCACCGTCAGTGGCTTCATACTCGCAGTGGACGGAGTAAAATATAGCCACGTCATCGGCAAATGTGGCCATCAAGTATTTGCCTGGAGTGGCAAACTCGTGTAGTTCATCCGGAGTGGGGATGTCTGCCGCGTACAAGTTGTAGAGAAAGGAGCCCAGTACGCTGCCTTGGGGGACACCCGCCTTCAATTTGCAGGAGAGATTACTACTCTAACTTTGACTTCGAACTTTCGCTCCATTAGATAAGAGCGCAGAAGTAGAAAGAAGGGGGCGGGAAGACTCATCTTGATTTGCTGGAGCAATCTATTAATCCAGACTCGGTCGAAGGCCTGCTTAACGTCTACAAAGACTCCATAGCAGTAGTCTTTGTCGTCGTAAGCCTTAAGAATATGGTTAATCACTCTGTGAACCTGTTCAACAGCGCCATGCCCTTCCCTGAATCCAAATTGGTGATCAGGAAGGGTGGCCAAGTGATCCATAAGCCTTGAAAGTCGGGCCACAATCAGTCTTTCCCAGACCTTCGACAAGGAAGGCAGGAGACTGATCGGCCGATATGACACAGGGTCATATTCCGGCTTGCCCGACTTATGGATCATATGGATCCTCGCTAACTTCCACTGGGCAGGGAAGTGTTGCGTCCTTAATATGGCGTTGAAGATTAACGTTATAAAAGGGAGCGCGCGCATTGGTAGGACCTTCAGAGTGGTGTGGCATATTCCATCATGGCCCGGTGCTTTAGCCCTGGGAAGGACTTTGACGACGTGGATCACCTCCTCCACGCGGATGGGGCCGATAGGTGGTGACATCTATAGCGGTGTCTCCAACGCTCGGGTTGTGGGGTGGTGGGGAGGTGGCTTCGGCTGCTGCTGCCCGAATCTTTGCGTTAAGCAGCTCGATGGCGTCCTCTACATCCCGTCTAGTGCAGATTTCGGTGTTGAGGTGAATACTTTCACTCATCTGTCTCTGGAAGACACCGAGATCAGTGCGTGCGTTGATCAAGTATTTTTCATTTTATATCTATCGCCACCTCCTTGCCTCCAGCCCATAGCTTTAAATCAAATAAATAACATGTAACTATTGGAACAACCCATCATCATAAGTCACAATTTTAATCTTGTTTTCTTTTGAGATATTCTTAAATATTCTATATCACAATAAGATCAATTACTAAAAATCTCATTAAGATCGGTAAAGAAATACAAAAGTTATTAAAGAAATCGGGGGCTCGTATTGAAACCTGTGTGCGGCAGCTAGCACAAATAGCAAGATTTTCCGTATACATGCACATACATATTTATTCTTAAATTCAGGCTATATTCAGGCTATAAAAACCAAAAAATGTTTATACACGTACCTAAATTTCTTACGGCAGCTATATTATATAGTGGTGCGATGTTGATAGGATTTTGATATGAGCAGCTTAGTAAAACTAATAAGTGCCGAGTTTGGTCAACATACCTTAATAAATAAAGTTTTTAGTACAAGAACCAACTTTTCGACCGATCGTTCCTGTATGATATAGTGGTCTGATCCAGCCGTTTCCGACATATGTACTGTGTGCAACATTATGAGGGACGTATGCAAAGTTTCATGACGATAGCTTTAAAGGTGAGAGACCAGATCGCATAGAAACAGACAGACGGACAGACGAACATGGCTAAATCGACTCGGCTATTGATACTAATGATGAATATATATAAGGGGTCGGAAATGTCTCCTTATATGGGGTCGGAAATGTCTCCTTATATGCGTTACACATCTCGAGACAAAATTATTATACCTTCTGCAAGGGTATAAAAAAGCACAGCATACAATACAATCGCAAATGCAATTTGCCTATGAATGTATGTTTGCACATAATTACAGAAATTCTTGCGCATTGCGCTTGCTACTGCTGGTACATGGCTTGGCTAATATAACCATATGATTTCTTTAACTTCTTAACCGATTTTAATGAACTTTTCTGTAATAGTTCTTATTGTGCTGTATTTGATTTTCTCTGAATTTGTGAGGGGGTGGCGGTAGCCATAAAATGAAAGATTCTTGATTTGTATAAACTATTCTAAAAGTTAATGTTAAGTTTGGTGAGTCTAGGTCTTGGAAACGGGGCAAGGTGTCGATGATCGGAAAGAAACTCGTACTGCGCGTATTGACGCTGATCAGAATTTAAATACTTTATGGGGTCGGAGATGGTTCCTTCTGCCTGTTACACAAATTTGGGCACAACATTATACCCGTTATACCCATTTTTAATGGGCTCAGGGTAAAAATATGTTTTTCATATTTTCCCCGATAGCTCCTTGTTCCATAGTTCCATACGATAAAGTGGACAATTAAAAAAATATAATATCCTTTACACAAGGGCATAAAAATGGCAGGTCGCATTTCTTCTTATTCAGTTAGGTGTCATGTGAAATAATTTATATGTTTTTGCTACGTTTACCAACCTATGCGTTGGTGTACTTGCAAAAAACTTTTTTGGGGCGAGCTTATATACATATCAGTATATATATCTCTATATATAAAACTGTTTGTCCTGACAAACCGTAAGAGCTAGGAAGTCGAAATGTTCACTGTAGTTACCTTATGTGATGAGGGGATTCGAGAAATTCCACCCGCAAAAATCGTTGTTCAAATTCATTTGAGGGGTGTTTCTCAATTTTTAGAAAATCCACTCCTCTTTGTTGGAAATAGGGGTCAACGATTTGGTGGGTGACATTTCGCACTCTAATTTATTTCCAACCCAAGTACATAGGTAATGGAAATATTTCATGACGGTGTACACATAGCTAAGGTGCATCCTTTACAAATGAATGGGTGTTGGCGCTAGCCAACACAACTGTGAACAGAAACTGCCCGAAAAATAGGAAAACCTTCAAAACGCTCAAATATGATTAAAAACTTCACATTAACCTAAACCACTACAGAGCACCCAAGCTCCCCCAAACGACCCTGGAAAAGAGAGTTTCGTGGCCATCATCAGCTAGCCATCCCTAAGCATGCTTGCATGTGTCACAAAAGCAAGGACGGCGGAGTACCATTATGGAGCTGTGCCAGAGAGTGTAAGATCACTCAACGACATGTACGCAAAGCAGAAGCTAACGCACATGATAATCATCTCATTTTAAGCATTTCAGCTACCGATCCAAGGATAAATTTACAAAATCGGTGCTTCAAGAAATCTGTGGTACTCTGTCTAAAAAAAAATAGAGAATCTCTTCCCATACCGTCCACTGTGCATGCTGGAGGATAATTTGCAACTGCCTAGAGAGTAAGCTTTCGGAAGTGCTTGGCCTTTTAAATCATCAATATAGCTTTAGAAAACACAGAAGGAAAGGTTCAATCCAAGGTGCCACAAACAGTATTGTCTAATCTGCACGTATCCCGAATTGTCTTATTCATCTAGGGACCAACTATTGTCAGGACTGAGTGCACACATCCGTCACTGAAGACAGCCAGCGACAATAAGTAGTTACTGAAGGCGTATCACAGGGTTATTGGGCCGCTCCTGTGTCTACCGGAAGGTAATACAATCGTTGGGTTCGCCATTGACAATAAAGGACAATCAACAAGATAATTGATGTTCTATGTCAAAAGGGACTCAAGTTTGCAAAGCAGATCTCGTAGGCAGTGCCAGTAGCAGCAGAAAGGTAATTGAGGGCGCTGTATCCCCGTCTAGCTTGCTGTTGGTTGAAAGGCAGAGCGGTCCAACCATTATCAAGCATATATATTTTAAGGTCGAAAACCCCAGCAAATCTTAAAGTGTTTGGGGACGAGGCAGCGATTTTAAATCTAAACTTAAGGAAATATCGATTTTTATGGGAAGGAGGTGCTATATTCAACTCTTGCCCGTTTTTTTCCTATTTTTACTTCTAAATTTCACCCGCATCTTTTAAAATGAGTTTGAAGCATAAACATTGTTCTTAAAGATATGAATTTTATTTGACCGATTTGTTTTCATTTTAGGCCTTTCTTCGTCATGTGATACGTTGCTTTTGGCGGAATTGTCTGTGTTGCATTTTTACCCAAGCATTATAAATAGTGGACAAGTGACAACTGGCAATCTAACCAGTTTCTTTGTCAACTACAAGCATAAGATACACAATGCTAGTAACAGCACCAGCAAAAGACGCACACCCGCAGACAACCAGACACCTGCCAAAGACAGTGGTCAAAATGATGGGAACAATATGCCACAGCGTTCAAGAATTTTAAAGCAGCATGAAAATCAACGGCAAGAATTGAAAACCCCAACTAAAAATATTTCTTATACGCTAAGCAGATCCAGTTCAAATAACAACGACAGTAAAAGTAATGCCGTTAAATTTGCAACTAATAATGAAAAACTTTACAAGTTCTATGTGCCTGATAACGTCGGTGTAGCTACCGCGCGACTAGCGTTCAATGAAGTGTGTATGGGTTGTCCGGACATCAGCTTCATTACTCAAGCAAACGCATTTCCACTAATCTGCAGGGACGGGCAAAATTTGGCCGGTAACGAATATAACTATCTCCACAGATCAGTTATCAGACCAAATCAGACTAAAGAAATCTCAATTAAATTTTATGTTCAGGCTAATACATGGCACTATGCTCTTCTAAATTTTGTCAGCTCAGCAGATGACTATTGGATGGCTCCAAATAATGAATATATGTCGACACTAACATTAAACCTTATGAAACCAAAATTGAATCAACAAAATGGCAAAAATAATTTGAGCCTGGCAGCGCATAACGTTTCGTATACACTACAGATAGATTTTGAAGAGTTTAATCTACACAACGAATCTTCTAAGATACAGCCTCAGGCAGAAAATGAGTGTAACAATAATTGGAAACCAGTGCGCATTAGCGGAATAAATTTCTATCGCCTCCTGCGCCAGAGCTATCATGAATTTTTTATGTTTGACTATGACTTAGAGCCGGATGATAACGGTACAGTTCCGGCATTACTTAACTTAACAGCACATTATCCAGCAGGATTTGCCTTTGACCTAGGCGAGGTATACGATATTGGCGGAACGCTCACATTTGCCGTGTCCATGAAGCCCGAGCTTCGCTTCAGCAGCGAGCTAAAGCCAATATCACCTACGAAGTCGCCACCATTAGAAAGGGGTGGAATTCTAGCCGAGAAGCTTGTGAGTAGATTAGAGGACGCAGGACGTGTGATGGGCCATGAGCAGCTACCCCGCGGCAACCAAAGTATGCAAATCATTGTGTGCATGCATCTTGGCGTCCCAGGCATTCCTACATGGCCCGATAAATGTCGTTATGGTCAAAGATTGTTGCCAGCTTCTAGCATAATCAATAATACTGATATAATGGGTCTAATACATGTACCCTTCCCAGAAAGTGGCTTCTGGTAAGTGCAAATCACTAACAAGAACGTTGCAGTCAGATGCAGCCCACAACACAATAATCAATTATTGAGTTGGTCACTTTAAAACTGTAGTTTCAAAGTGTTCTTTTGAAGTGTCACATAAAAAACCATTGCTTTTTGTCAATCGGTTTTGAGAAACATTTTCGCGGTTCAAATTTTTGATTGATGTTTGACTAAGGGCGTAAGAACGCAAAGCAAATCATTTTGGGTTAATCCATTAAACCACCTTACTTACACGTGAAATATTTTTTCGTAACTCTTCATAAAATGATGGAAGGTATGTTTACTGAGTATCTCTAAAGCGGGTAAATAGAAGGTATAAGTACGTTTAAAAAATATTAAAACAAAATGGTTGAACTTGAAAAACAATTACACTATTATGTACGGTAGTTATACCCTCACAGTAGCTATTGCAATTCTATTAAATGTGTAACACATTTGAGGTCCGACCCCATACTTTATAGTTTTATCTATTATTTGTTATATACAAATTTATATTGGCCAAACTTACTAAATGGTCACCAACACACAATCCAAACCGTGGCCTAAATAGCTGGTTGGTTCCAATTTATTTATGTTTTTGATTTATAGTGCAGATTGGAGTTAGCTACAAAATAAAAGAAACTTGATCTGTATATACTATACATCATACTAAAGCCTTTAGCTCAGATTCATACATACGGACCGGAGGATAGAGAGACGGTCATGGCTAGATCGACTCGGCTATAGATTTTGATCAAGAATACATATTCTTTATGGGGTCGGAGATTTTTACTTCTGCCAGTTAAATACATTTGCACCCATTTTCGCTGGGTTATGGTTGCCATCCGCTCGGCTATAATATCATTTGCAAAGATCTTATTGAAAATTCCTCAGATACGTGTTTCACTTTTTTCGTAGAAGGATAAATTCAGGTCAAAGGTTGAATGCACGAAGTTTCAGCTGTAAGATCATTTTCATAGATCTTTAGGAAAATTTGTTTGAGATGTATTTCACACTTCGTCCGATTTTGTTCTTTATTCAATGGGTAATCTCCGGACTTGCCGGTGTCAAATTTATTTTAAAACAATTTAATGTTTTATTCTTATAGCAAATTAATACAAATTTGCAGTGTAAATTAAATACGTTTTTTCTACGTATATCTATAGGTTCGTCACTATGGGTTTGTTTTGCCATGGAGCAGAAACAGCGCGTGGTTCTATCATTGACAGCGTCAAGGACTTTGTGCGACAACACGGGAATTTGCTTCATGAAATGCGCAATCCCTGTGCTTGTGCTGGTAATGCCAAGCGCTATGCAGCTTGCATTGGCTCGAAAGATTGCTTGGCCGGTATGAACGAAACTGAGACGCTAAAAGTAAAGGAGTGCATAATGGACTCTAAGTGCACAACCGACTATTTGGAAATGACGCACCTCTTTCAAGTACATCACAGATCAGCGACGGAACAGCAGTTTGCACTGGATAACTGCAACACCTCGGTGGTTTTCTCCATATCATCGAGTCCCTGTGTGGCAGGGCGTTGTGGTCGCTTTGGCCGCTGTTATCATTACATGTCCGGAGGTTTTGTATTTTCAACATGCGTTTGCAATAAGGGATACCGCGGCTGGGATTGTACTGAGAGCTCGCAGGTGCCTTCGAGTATGTCTATTCTTATGGCCTCGTTGCTACTCACTTTGAGCAACCTTCTATTTATACCAAGCATTTACATGGCTTTTAGGCGCCAATACTATACCGAAGGTGCAATATACTTTTTTGCTATGTTTTTCTCAATTTTTTATCATGCATGCGACTCAGGAGAGGATGAATACAGTTTCTGTTTAGTAAAGATCAGCGTACTGCAATTCTGTGATTTCTATTGTGGCTTATTAGCCATTTGGGTCACACTTATTGCAATGGCCAATATTCCTCCGCAGTATGTCTCTCTACTTAACATGTTCGGTGCGATTCTGCTAGCTTTTGGTACAGAACTAAACAAGCAGAGCCTCTGGGTCTTTCTAGCTCCAGCCTTAACAGGCATTTCTCTCATCTCCACTAGCTGGGGTATACGCTGCGCCAAAACTCGCAAATGGTTTCCTGCTCGACGTTACCTTACTATTTTTATGCCACTCGGCATGGTACTGGTAATGATTGGTCTGGTCTGTTACGCATTTCTCCAGACCAAGCAGAACTATCATATTGTTCACTCTATTTGGCATATGGTTATGGCGATAAGCATTATGTGCTTGTTGCCATCACGCAAAACATTCATGCCTAAGCTCTAGCACTCGAATGGACACTTTTCTTGCGGGTCAGAAGCTAGCCTGCATTTGCTACGGCACTCCTTATTGCGCATCTAATGTGCGCCCATTTTTTAGATGTCACAAAACCTCACAACCAGTCACAATGGTACATTTTAAAATGTATATGTATAATAAACAGTAGATATAACATTATTAGATGCCATGTTTAAATATGCATGCAAAAGACAAAAAAAATATTTATATTGTCTTGAACATATTCTTCTAATAAAACAAATAAATTAAGTGATATAAGGTAAAATGTAACCTTCACAATCAGGCTGAAATCTAATGACACTTAAAAATATTTTGCAACGTGATCTTTCAATACTAAAGCTTTTGTTCTAAACCTATACATATTACTAATTAAAGTTTAAAAGAGTTCCAGTAATATACGAACATATATGCGTATAAATTCTTCAAGAAATTCGAATATTTATATATTGTTATATTAAGCCCTTAATGTAGGAAGCTGATGTTTTGTAGATTAATTATTAGCCTTTTAATGAAGCCTTAATAATCTTAGCGGATATGATTCCTAAAAATATAATACATTTGTCCCACATACTAATAGAAAAACTGTAGTCATAAGTTATTTGAAAATATTTTTTTGGTTAACTAAACAAAGTAGTTTTCATTTAACTCACTTTATATTGTCTTTGGATAATATAAGTAAAGCAATATTGGGCTAAAAACAAAGTGTAAGATGTGACAAATAAGTGCTGCAAATGTATATAAGATGCATAAAGTTCCTTATACTTACCATACTCAAAAGAGTTCCAGTAAAATATGTCCATGTGTATATAACCTTCATTCAAAAAATGCGTTTAGGTTTTTTTTTCTGAATGGTCAACCAAAGTATGTAGTTATAATTATAATAACATTATAATAAAATACATTATACCCTTTTTACCCATTTTCAATGGGGTCAGGGTATATAAATTAAAAACTAAAAGCCTAAATAGACTACGAAATGTCTAATAACATCTCCGACACGATGTGTTTTTTTGGCCGTCCGGCCAGCTAAAGTATGTAATACATTATAATAAAACAAGTAAGAGGTTCTAGTCGTGAGCTCCCGACTAAGGGATACCCTAAACACTCTTATTCCACCACCAAATGCAGAGAATTTAGCACAGAAAAAAAGGATTGACAAAGAACAAATTCATCTGCTATCTGCATTGATATGATTTGATTTCAACTAAACAACGTCGTTTTCATATATGTAACTCACTTTATATTATCTTTGGACAATATAATTAAAGCAATACTGGGCTAAAAACAAAGTGTAAGATATTACAAATAAGTGCTGCAAATGTATATAAGATAAAGTTCCTTATACTGACCAATACACAACACAATTTTTAAGCTCAAAAGAGTTCCAGCAAAATATGAACATATGTATATAACCTTCATTCAAGAAATGCGTTTAAGTTTTTGGTCGACCAAACGTCAACCACAGTATGTAATACATTAAAATAAAAAAATGTAAACCTAAAAGCCTAAATAGACTACGAAATGTCTAATAACATCTCCGATACGATGTTATTTTTTTTTTTGGCCGTCCGGCCAGCTAAAGTATGTTACACATTATAATAAAACAAGTAAGAGGTTCTATTCCAGAGCTCCCGACTATGGGATACCCTAAACCCTCTTATTCCAACACAGAATGCAGCTCGCTCTACGTGCTCGATTGCTTTAGTACTAATAAAGATAAATTAAAAAAAAAAAATGTTTCCTTGATAGGGTTCAAACTCGCAACAGACCGCACTACCTGCCGCCGCCTCTGCTCAACTCCAATAATTGAGTCTTAATGAGAAAAAATCGAATTAATGTAGCAACCCAGAAAACAATACAATCGCACTTGAATTGCTGTTGATAGAATTCAAAGCAGACGCGCTTGAATGTGTGTGTTTATGTACACAGAAAGTCTTGGAATTTGCGCTTGCTGCCGCTGATACCAGTAAGGCCAAAACATGTTTTCTTCAATAAATTCTAAGCCGAACTTGATGACATTTTCTACAGTACATCTTATTGTGCTATTTAATATTTGTGTATTCTCAAAAGGTCAATAGCATTTAAATTGTGGCTTATATTGGTGGGCAGCATAAATTGGTTTATTTACTTGATTTAAAGCTATGAGGTAGTAGCGGTGAGGTGGTGATAGCTATAAATTGAAGGATACTTTATATATATATATACTATTCTAGAAGCTACATGCTAAGTTTGGTGGCTTTAGCTCTTATTATTTACCAAAATTTCTCAAAAAAACAGGACTTCGATATTGATTATTATCGATTACTTGGAAGCAAGTTATCGAATAGGAGGACCTACAGCTAAAATTTCAAGGTCTCTAGCTCTCATAGGTTCTGAGATCCTTGCGTTCATACATACGGATGGACAGACAGACGGACATGGCTAGATCGACTCGGCTTTTGATGCTGATCCAGAATATATATACTTTATGGAATTTATTTTTTTTTTTTGTTGTATATAAATATGTATTGCATTGAATCAAAAATAGCATACATTTTTATTATAATACAGTTGGCATAGGTGATATTTCGCCAAGCATGGTTGAGACATGGCTAGATCGACTCGGCTATTGAATATATATACTCTATGGAATTTATTTGTTTATTTTTTTTTTGTAAATAAATATGTATTGCATTGAATCAAAAATAGCACACATTTTTAGTACAACACAGTTGGCATAGGTGATATTTCGCCAAGCATGGTTGGGTCTTCAGGCTTAATTGTGGACAAAAGTCAAAGGTGGCTTTTTTGAATAAGGCTGCATCGTCACGTAGGCTGTCGGGGGACTCTGGGGAGGTCCTTGAACGATCTTCTCTTGAGCCTCCTGACTAGACACCTCTCAGCGAAGTCTTTTGCTTCTCGGTTGCAGTGCCGCTGCAAGCGTTTGGTTTACCGGTTGGCGAATGCTCCGACTTGGCTGTCTATGATCGCCATTTTGAGGTCTCCATGCAAGGTAGAATTTCTGACGTACCAGTCAGCACCGGACATTCGGCGCAAGACCAAGTTTTGGAGTGTCTGAATCCGTCTTCGATTTGTGCGAGATGCAATACCCCAAACCTAGATACCGTATCTCCAAGTTGGCGCCACCACGACGTTGTAAACTGCCCGTTTGAAGCGAAGTGGCAATGGGCTGTTGGGGTTTAGTAGCCAGTTGGCCTTGGCCATCTTAACGCGGCACTGCCTGAGAAGGCTAAGCCTCTTATCCAGTACAATGCCGAGATACTTGGCGCTTCTGCCAGGGTGAAGGGGGCTGCCATCTATCCAGACTGCTGAAGCCTTGCGACGCCTCAGTGTGTAGTTGACCGCCTGGCACTTTGAGGCATTGAGCTTGATGTTCCACCTGCGTGCCCAGCTCTCGAGCAAGTGGATGTATTCCTGGGCCCCGTCAGTTGCTTCGTACTCGCAGTGGGCGGAGTAAAATATTGCCACGTCATCGGCAAATGTGGGTATCAGGTGTTTGCCTGGAGTGGCAAACTCGTGTAGGTCATCCGGAGTGGGGATGTCTGCCGCGTACAAGTTGTAGAGAAAGGAGCCCAGTACGCTGCCTTGGGGGACACCCGCCTTCAATTTGCAGGAGAGATTACTACTCTAACTTTGACTTCGAACTTTCGCTCCATTAGATAAGAGCGCAGAAGTAGAAAGAAGGGGGCGGGAAGACTCATCTTGATTTGCTGGAGCAATCCGTCAATCCAGACTCGGTCAAAGGCCTGCTTAACGTCTACAAAGACTCCATAGCAGTAGTCTTTGTCGTCGTAAGTCTTAAGAATATGGTTAATCACTCTGTGAACCTTTTCAACAGCGCCATGCCATCTCCTGAACCCAAATTGGTGATCAGGAAGGATGGCCATGTGATCCATAAGCCTTGCAAGTCGGGGACATCCCAATCGCCAGCGATTGAGAGGCACTGGTCAGGGATCCCCTGGTAGATGGTGAAGTCTATGCAGGACGAAGTGCCTCTGCCGCTTTACGGGTATCTTGGCCGCGCGCATTGCTGCTATTTGCGCCCTACAGCCAGTGGTGTACATTCCAGTCGCCTCCCACCAGATATCTGCTTCCAGCCGAGTTGAGCATGACGTTGAAGTCATCAGTCGACGTCTGCTCATTTGGCCTGCAATAGACTGATCCAAAGTCCACGTTACCAGCATCAGTAGAGACTTTCACAGTCGGATATTGGTAAACACGATTAGCAATGCTCAATTGCGGGAACTGAACCAAGTTACTCCGAACGAGGACAGCGCAGCCGCCACTAGCTGAGAGATTTTGAGTCCAGTGTACAGGGTACGCCTCGAAGCCAAAAATTCTAGGGAAAGTAGCTGGTTCTAGTTTCTGACAGCAGAATTATTCCGATGGCTTGTTTTTGTACTAGGGCATCCAGCTCCATTACATTAACACTTTCAGTGGTTTGTTAATTTGGATAGCAACGCGGACAAAAGGGTTAGGATTTGCTGTTGCATACCCAAAACCTGCTGGTGCATTTCTGCCATAGCATTTCTGCTATAGCTCGGCTCATGTTCTTGATAGCAGAGGAAAGTCCCTCCCCGTTTCCAGATGCCTGCTTTTGCTGTTGTTGCACAGTCAGCCTCTCCTTTTGTTGTTCCCTCAGCAGTCTATGTAGCCTAGCTTACGCAGATTGCAAGAGCTGGGGGCGTTATTCTCTTTGCTGAATGCAGCTAATTCTCTTCTGGTGGCAGCGGCGTATGACAGCCCTTCTACTTGTTCAGTGGGTGCTAAACGGGGGAAGTCAACAGGTGTAGGCCCATGAACTTTATTGCTGCGGCTTCGGTTCGCTTGAATCGATGGGAGATTTTTCATTTTGAGGCCCCCGCACGCTTTAGTTAGCAGGGTGGTTACCACCGCAGTGGGCGCATGTTGCCGGAACCCAGTCGGGCCGTGTGCAATCAGCAGAGCGATGATTGAGCCCGTATTTAACGCACTTGTGTTGTTTTCTACAGTATGTGGCCGTGTGCCCGTGACATCTATGGCATTACACCAGGCTTGACCACCTGATCCAGGTCCACTACTTCGGATAGTACGAGCCACACGTCGTTGAAGTCGTCGATGCCATTTAGGACGATGGGGGGCGGCTTCTTTCCACCAGTGGGGGCATTGTTGTTGGCTCTTTTTTTTTGCGCACGGAGGAGCTGGCTACCGCCTCCAACCTGAGGAATCGCTGAGGCAGGCAAGTTCCCTTCTTGGGCTGAATTTACCTGCTCGGCTTCAGATTCGTCAGTCTCTATGTCTTTGTCGTTATCGGGTGGTGCCAAGAGAGCATATATATTGGAAGCATGTATGCGAACTGGACTGATGTCAGTCTTATTCTGTCTAAGCCCGCGGCAGGTGAGGACTTGCTGTCTAAGACTTTGCGCTTATCGTTTTTTATACCCTGAACACATTGAAAATGGGTAAAAAGGGTATAATGTATTTGTGCAAATGTATGTAACAGGCAGAAGGAAGCATCTCCGACCCCATAAAGTATATATATTCTTGATCAGCATCAACAGCCGACAGCCGACAGCAGAGTCGATTTAGCCATGTACGTCTGGTTGTCCGTCTATCCGTTTGGATGAACGCGAGGATCTCAGAACCTATAAGAGGTAGAGGCTTGAAATTTTAGCTGTAGATCCTCCTAGTCCATGCGCAGATCGAATTTGTTTCCGATAATCAATAACTTGTCCCGTTTCCAAGTAATCAATAATCAATAACCAAAATCGATATCGAAAACCTGTTTTTTGAGCAATTTTGGTAAATAATAAGAGCTAGAGTCACCAAACTTGACATGTAGCTTCTAGAATAGTATATATATCAAGTATCTTTCATTTGATAGCTATCCCCACCTCGCCGCTACCACCAAAAAGCTATAAATAATGTTAGTAAACCAACTTGTTTTGCCTACCTAATTAAGCCACAATTTAAATGCAATTGTCATTTTGAGAATACACGAATATTTTATAGTACAATAAGATCTACTACTGAAAATTTCATCAATATCGGTTAAGCAACACGTGCAGCAGCAAGCGAAAATTCCAAGAAATTCTGTATACATGTACACACACACGTTCAAGCGCGTCTTCTTTGAATTCTATCAACATCATTGCAATTGCGATTGTATTGTTTTCTGTGCTGCCGAGGAAACTATTTTTTTTTTGGCTGTTGCGTAGAGGCGGCAGCAAGTAATGCAGTCAGTTGCGATTTCGAACCCTGTCAAAGCAACTTTTTTTTTTTAATTTATCTTTATTACTACTTAAACATTTGTTGTTGAAATAAGAGGGTTCAGGGTATCGCCTAGTCGGGAGCTCTCGACTAGAACCTCTAACTTGTTTTTATTTTATAGCTATCGCCAACCTAGCACACCCCCAGGCCCCCACACCAAAGCTATAATTCAAATAAATAAAGCAATTTCTACTAGCCACCTATTAGGGTCGAGTCCGATTGAGATTTCTTTTTTTAAAATTTTTTTTTACCTCCTAAAGAAGAGGTAGAAGAGGGTATGTGGTGTACCTTTAAATCTGACAACCGGTTTCGAATATGCGATTGTGGGAATAATCCGAATATTTTGGTCCTTGAATTGAATACCTTACATACTTTCGTCGCTCCCATACCAGTGCATCACCGTCTACTAAGGATATGTAATTCAAATGAGA